TTAGAACAAAGCCCTGGTCCTCGTTCACGTCGTTCCCAATCCATGAACTGCGTCCCGAGCACCTTCTGTGGCGCTGTTCTTGGTAAGATGTACAGCTCCATTAAGGGTTTCCATCAGCGTAATTAAATTAATTAAAGAACTTGTGGCCTCACAGGCACATCGCTTCAGTCTCTAGGCGAGAATCAGTCGAGAGCAGATATTCAATACACGAGCCCCAAAGCGACGTTTCCTCCTCTGATACGATCTCAGAAAAATTAACGACAGTTGGAGCTGAAGAAAGCACGATGAAAGAAGCTCTCATCTCGAAATGGAGGGCTATCATCATCACATGAATGAACTTCATTGTCAAGAAACGAGAACGCGTCGCCAAAGTAGCACATGAACACCCTCGAAAACGTTCAAAGAGGTTCTGGAACGTCTAATGTTCACGGATGAGCAGCTTTTGGGCGCTCAGTCACGGTGCGGTTTGATCTCTAATGTCCTATTCTTTATGAAGTTTCTGAAGGACATTAGTTGAACGTTAAGGAGACGTTTTCTTTAGCACATCAGCACATCTGTGATACTTGGTCGAGGTCAGCCACCTGGCAATGGCTCGGATAAATAAAGGTTCGCACGATCGGAACGAGATGACGCAAAAATGGCCGCTGCAGCAAGTTGATACCCGATATTGCTGGAATTCGTCCCCAATACTTTTCACATGGTACTCAATCATTCCCCACAAACACCACTTGGGAAAAATTTTGAATTCTCCAATACGTTCGTCTCATGAGGTAACCCAGTCCAGGAAACCCTGACTCAGAGGTTGGTTCAACAAGTTGAAGAGTAATGTGACTCCATGCAACATTTATTGAAGGAGCTATTGTTAGCGCGTTTCATCGCTTCCACGGAGAACCGAGCCCTGCTCGTGACTGGTCCTTCGAGATTAGATTGATCTGAATGTTTCCTCACAGCGGATCTATTCTGACACGCGATCCCGGAGCAGGAAAAGAACTGACAGAATTTACAGGGTAGGATTCTACTCCGGCGAAGGAAGTGGAAATCTCACAGGATGTGAAGAAACGATTAGAAATCCCAACTTCCTCCGCGAAGGAAGGCAGTACTCGATCGGAGAGGCTGCATTAATGGCCCCAGCCACGGGAGCAAGAGCTGTATTCCATGATGAATGGTCGTTTCCAAAATGTTAATTGCTTGTTGGATGAATCGTTGAAGAGGAAATTTGTGAACGTTTGGTGCTGTTTGGGAACATTCATCACATGGGGAACGCATAATTTGAACTGTTTTTGATCGCTCTAAATTTTGGACATTTAAACAGTCAATAGAACGTTCCCAAGGACGTTCATTGCACTTTGGCAGAAACTTTTAAATAGGACGTTCATTGAACATTGATCGATCGTTCCGGGACTACTTGGGTGGCCTCGCCGAAGAAGGGAATTCCTTCCCCAACAAATGATTTCACCCGTCAGTTTGTGATTTCACACCTCGTGCCCGCTGAGTGGCAAGGACACAAATTGAAATTTCGTTATCGATGCTAATGTCATTTTCTTTTATAAGCAGAGATTCGAATTAACAATTTCGGTCGGGGTTAGGTTCACACATGCACCAATTTTGCGCAGGATAGACCTCTCTCTTTACCACGCCGAACCAATCGGTGTGCGGCGAGCAAATTATCATTCACTATTCAGGTGTACGATATCGAATACAAACTTAAAGGTTATTGAGGGGGCTTTTCCTTTCAGGAAATTGAAAAATGAGGACAAGGGGGGAAAGCCATTCGGAAGCAGCTGCTCACGGTCGCCTCAATATAGTAACGAATCTTCAATGGAAGCCGCGGCAGATGTACAGGTTCGTCACTTGAGTCCTTTATCATGTTTAGCATCCCCTGCATTCACTGGCAGTGAATTTGTATCTTTTCCACTCCATGTGCTGCGTCATTGACAAATATCCCGATTCAGAGGAGGGTGCCATGTGTCCATTGTGGACCAACAATGCCGATAAAGAGAGGTCCGGCTTCATCTCTTCAGCTTCCTCTCTCTTTCTCTCTCCGTTGTGCATGTTAAGCACGTGAGATAAGTCATGTCATTTTTACCTTGTTCACCCTTAACTTTTGTTAGAAAATAGGACGCTTTAAAGTGAGAACAGAAAATAATGAAGGACTTACGTCACATTGTCGTCATTGCTTTTCCCTCGTTGCCTTCAGGGGCTTTCAGATGGGAGATGGAGCATTGATCAAGCCAAGGAAGCATGCATTAGAGGCAAAAATCAATTTTCGATCTGAGAAGGCTGGAATGTCGTGAGTCGTCCTCTTCCCTTCTGGCACTGGGCTGCAATGAAGCGCAGGAAGTGGAAACCAGTGTTGCCGAATGGCGTCTTTAGGTCTCGTTCTTTTTTTTTCCGTATTGACAACGGGTCTTCATTGCAATAGGGTTTTTATTTTCATTTCTTCCGACGACCACGATTATAAGCGAATGCGAATAAGCCAGCAAACCTGCAGGTGCGCATTGTCAGAGTCGAGCTCCTGATCGAAGACTCTGCAAGGCCCTGTTTTCACTCTCTTGCTAGGCCATGGTTGCCAGATTCGCTACAGATTCGACTTTTGAAATGCCGAAAGGGATTGGAAGGTGCTGGAGCTTGAAAGTCTCCGATAAGATCTGGATCACGCTCCACAGCATTATTTGTGATTGTTCTCTTTTTCTTTCGGCAGACATAGATCTAATTAGCGGTTCCTTTCGAGCTCCATTAAGTTCTATAGGAGTTATAGGACTTCTATATAGGTATTCCGCCTCACAGCCTCATCGGAGAATACTCTTTGCGGATGAGTACGTTTCCTTCTTCCCTTGGCAAAAGAGAGTCATCGCTTGGACATGACACCGATCGCCTTTGAAGAATAAGATCAAGACTTGGCGCAGCTCAGGGCAGTCGCAGTGTGAACCCAGGAAGAATTCATCCTCTCAAGCATTTCCATATTCATGCATCCTTGAATAATATAAGGATGGATACACTGGCTCCCTCTAACATGGACTGAGGAAAGTACGGTTGGCGGGGGAAGAGGAGGGGGCGAATAGAACCGACAACACACAGGCAGAGTTTTCCGGCCCGAGTCCGATTCACTCGCACGACCCTCACCTTGCGGTCCCGCGGGCCGTGCGGTCCGGCCCGCTGCGACCTACACCCCAAGTCTGAGCGTAGTGAGGATAGAGGGAGTGGGAGAGCAGTGAGAATGAGCGTAGGCCCGGCTAGGGCGCTGTGTGAGTGTTATCGATGAGCTAGGCTAGGCCCGCAGCCCATCCCGGCTTCTCCTACCCTCCCGGTAGCCTACACTCAACGCTCACTCCATGACTTCTCTCCCGTTCTTATCATGATTTCGGTGTGATAGCTTCCATTGTCATGGATTGGATCGTCTATCTTCACGTCCTTTTCGTCGTTACCTACGGTGAGTGGAACGTTTTCGTGGCGTCGTTGCATCGCGGGCCTCGTTGCGTCGCTGAACGGAGGCGACAATGCATTTGTCATGATTGCACTGAGAGCCAGCATCCTGTCTGTCTTTGCATCACATGGGGCTGAAGAAAAGCAGGGAACACCCGTCTATAAAGACGACCCGGGGCCATGAGCGTGGGATGAAACATGCATTTTCTTAGGATCACGACCAGGCAATAATTAATTACTATATGGCGTTATCCCCTAGGCGTTAAACTACCTTCTAGGGTAAACCGGGAGGGCCCAAGTTTTCATCCTCGCTAAGAGCAAAGGAGGGGGAAAAAACAGTCTTTTGTTGAACAAAGGAAACGGAAGGCTCTGTTTGCAACCCCGTGTTGTGAATGGCGCTCACGAAGAAAAGAAAAGGAAAAGTTCTCCGTAAGAGAGAAAGCCGTTCCAACCAGGTGGCCTGTGTCAACTCCCAATCCCCCATTCCACCTTGAACTTGATCCAATATCCTTAACGAGGTCCATACCCACCGCGCGCGAGAATCCCTCGCAGGACGCCGTGCCCCACGCGATCAGAACCCAGGAAATCCCATTACGGCTGTCCCCGAGAGAGATACGGAGATGATCGGATTCTGCATCCCCCTGATCCCACTCCTGCCTCTCCTTCATCAACGTGTCGCATCCAATCCAACTCTTGCAGGATTCCGGATCGATATGAAAATCAGTCGCAGTCGGTGCTCCGACGTTTCTTTTCTTCCGTCAGGCGACACAGATAACAGGACATGCGTGATTAATGCGATAATATTGGGTTTAGCAAGGAAAACAATCAGGGGGAGGGAAATGGGAGACAGGGGTCGAAGAGGGGACGTGAGTATCTATAGCTCATTAACATGGGGAGGATGGTGGTTGCCATGGAAACGGAGAAGAACGGAGCATGCTCCTCCTCCTCGTCCCACATAAAGGCCTGTACCCAAGGACAGAGATAGACAGGAGCACACGGAGACGATAAGGGATTGAAAACAGAATCCAAGGAATGGGCCAATCGATCAGTGGCCATCCTGCAATATCTCTGCCAAGAATGGGGGGTATTTCCACCGCCCACGCTTCATCCCGCTTCATCCCCCCCCCGGCCGAGGCAGTGAAGAGAAGTTGCCTCCCATTTTCTACCCTCCCCTCGTCCTCACTCACGTTCTCCTCTTTCCGAAGCTCACGTGATCACCTCTTAACCTCCCGTTTCGAAACAAAAGGCGTTTAAAAGGACTCTTCTATCTCGCCATGGATCGTTGGAAAGATATCGATACCGTGAGCCCATCGCGGTGAATACGACCGACCCATTACGCACCGACCCGACAAACCAAGAAAATAAAAATTAACTGTCCCGCGCATCTGTTAATGGGCTCACCGTGGTAAATCTGCCGCAGGCAGTCCCATCTGTCAGACCCAGCAGGTACTGGCATGATTAGTAACGGGACTTAGGTTTCTGCCTGGATGAGTCAGGTTCCACGGATGACAAACAACGCAATGTGAATGCCCTCCGTTCGGTTTCCGATGGTCGGGCAGAGAGAAAAAACGTGTGGGATGCAAGGTCAAAGAGATTATCCGCAAAGGAATTAAGGCATGAGGTATGAAGCATGACCAGGGCAGGGTTCGTTTTCTATGTTGGCACGTTTATACAGGCTATGCCCTCTTGGAACCCGGCCCAAGTTGCTCTGCGGGGCATAATTAGAAGATTCATTTTCATTCCACCGCGAACCGGATGGGTTTTTCCGTGATGGTAATTAATCCGTTTGCCTCCCCCAAAGCCGGAAGCTCATGAAGAGATTCGCGAATCGATCGTGAGGTCAAGGGGACTGTTTTTGGCAGGAGTCGATGAAGTTCAAGGCTACGCTGGCCTGCAGGAGACAGTGGCGATCGATGAGAGTCTACGAGCAAACCCGCATTGATCTCTGCGTCTTGCTTTTATTCTCTGTCTCTCGCGTTTATTCTATGCAGGGTCAAAAGGATCGCAGGAGCTGGCGTTGACGCCGGAAGGAGATCAAGCGAGGTTCGTGGGAGACACGTTCTTCGTCTCCTGTTCTTCCCAAGATCCGGATCTCCGAGTCCAGGGGATTTCCTGGACGCACAACGGCATGCTGGTCTCCACGGACATCACGCAACCGTGAGCGCACCGACGATAAAACACGCGCAAAAAATGCGTGGATTTTAACGTGGCTTTTCTCGCGAAGCGTGCACGTCGAGATGCGCGGGGACGGGGAGGCCGCAGACATCCTCTTCCAAGGCGTGAGAAACGGAGACGACGGGGATTACACGTGCTCGGGCGTGCTCGGCGGGAAACGAGTCCAAGATTCCTTCGCACTAACTGTCCACAGTCAGTTTCCTCTTTCGTCCCCGGGGAAATAAAAGCAGATATCAAAGGGCATTATAGCGGACGGGAGGGTGAGGCCCAAGCGGGGGAATCGATTTTTCACTAGCCCTGGGCCCCAGATTCCCCTTCCCCCCCCCCCCTTTTTCCTTTTCTCTTCCCCCGTTTCTGCCTCTCCCATGCACGTGCCCGATGGGAAAGAGACACGCATGAAAGAGTGATGATGCTCCATTATTCCCGACAGACCCCGTCTCTTTCGAGGACACCCCGACCGTCCAAGCCGCCGTTGCCGGCGCGGATTTCACCCTGGAATGCCGGGTGAAAGGTGAACCCCCGCCTGTAGTCACCTGGAAGCATCAGCATGTCGGTTAGTGAGAATCCGCTCCGTCGCTTCGAATTAATTCATTCTCGTTCCGTGAAATGTCAAGCGGGTGATCGGCAAGCAAAAGCGGCTTTTCTTCCGAAGGAAGCTTTTCGGTCGTGTTTTTTTTTTCCAAGTTTCCATTTTTCATGAATAGATTAGGATTCTGACATGGTTCATTTAACGTTGAAAAAATAGCCATGGGTGGCCCGAAAGCATTAAGGTTGCAATCGTGAATCGAGACCAAGGTAAGATCATAGAATTGGGTGAGACTCTAGTGTACACTGTTTTGTACGAAATGATTGTGTTCTTCGAGATTCCTCATTGTTACTAGGTCAGAAAAGACCAGAAATCGATTAGGGTAAAATATCCAGTGATGGGCCACAGCACATGAAAATTCCAACAGCTAGGTTTCCAAAGCACGCATACCCCTGTAGTGACAGGCTAGCAACATGCAAGCATATACACACTTCAGAGGGGTTCACGCTACAAATGCCTAGATTTTGGAATCCGTCACTGCACGGCCATGGCTGCAAGGCTTCATCTAATTCGAAGGCAGCTTCGTCGGGAAAGAGTACTTCGCGACCGAAACAGCCCCTTGGAAGAGTACGACGATGAAGGACTCAGGAGCTGATTCAGACTCTCACAGAGCCTCATCTTGGATATCTGTGCCCTAGTCCAGGCGAAAATGCAATGGGATACTGCCCGTTGTGGAACACCAATCCAGCTGATAGTATGTGTGGCACTTCGATTCCTGGCCACAGGCTTCATCTACTAATATGGTAGGAATGGAAAGGCCATGACCATTACCAAGCATGGAAAGGTGTCTTTATTTTTTCATTATTTTGAGTCAGGATAAAGTCGAAGTATAACCGAAATTAAGTTAAAGATAAGTTAAAGTTTCGAGAAAAAGGCCCCTGAACGTAGAACACTGCCGTCTCGGTGTGAAAAATGGAAAGAGATTCAACGAGGAATTTGTTGAGCCTTCCATGGCCCCCTATGGCCTAAATATAAATATGGGCCCCCCAACGGCAACAAAGGAACCGATGAAGGACGTACACCGTGCAAAGGCCCTCAAGCTCTGCATACTTCGAACATTCGTTGCCGCATACATTAGTAGGTCAATGGAGAAGTACTGCAGTCGTGAGATGACTCGGGCCTCTAAACACCATATTAGGACTAAAGGTTTCCACCTTGAATATGCGCATGCGCTATGGTTCAACTCAAATTCGCTCCGACGACATGACATGTGTGCATGTGACTAGAAGAGTCTACATTTCAGCTAAGCAAATGATCGCCGAAATTTACTAAGAAAAAATCCTCTAAAAAGTTTCTGAAACTAATACCTGCAGTTGCATATGATACCTTTCGTCTAATGTTACTTCTCCCTCGATCACCGAGCAGGGAATAAGAAGAAGTTCAAGGCACAAGGATCTCGACTGACGATCCATTACGTGGCAAGGAAAGATGCCGGGGTTTACATTTGCAAGGCGGCTCAAATCACGAACCAAGGATCTGTGGTGAAGACGCAGCCCATCACCCTCCACGTCCAATGTGCGTTTCTGCACGTCCGGACGCGGCGCGCGTGAGGCAGTTCCTCTCATCCGAGTTGTCTGACTCCATAGATGCGCCGCTGGCGGTGGAGGGACGGGTGGATAAGGCATATGGGTACATCGGGGCGAGGGTGAACATGACGTGCAGCGTGGATGCGGATCCCCCAGCCGATTTCAGCTGGACCCACGAAGGCCGCCCGATGAATACCACCGACGACGTGGAATTCTTCCGGGACAACAACACCAGCGTTTTATCTGTGAGGCGCTCGGTCCGACGCCAAATCTCATCGTGATGGCTGGGTTCGGTGGTACTGAGGGTTTGGATCTTGCAGGTGATGGTAAACGGGGAGAGTATATACGGGAAATACGTGTGTGACGCGGAGAACAGCATCGGAAACGTGAAGCAAGAGGTGAACCTGGAGAAAGGGGAACCCCCTCCAGTGCCCACTTTGGAGAAGATCACCCCCATCGGACCCACCTCCATACGAATACGAATCCTTCCTACTCTATCACTCCACCACCTCCTCAAGGTAACACCATCTACACCTCTCAAACTCTCGGACACTTAGCCCTTAACCTTCAACACCTCATCTACAGCTCTCAACACTTCACCTGCATCCACTCATCCCTGAACAGCTGACCTAACCATCACACTTAACATTGAACCTTCAGCCCTCAGCACCTTACAGTCAACTCGTCCCGCACCATTCAACCCTCACTTGCATGCACTCCTCTTTCAGCTCCTTACCTATTCCTGAACTCTTTGAATCCCTCTACCTTTTGGTCCCTTAGAATACACGAATGAGGCATGTTTACTATATTTACAGGTTACTGGGTATCGAATCCAGTACAAGAAAGACATTCGGGATCGGGATTGGCAAGATGGCAGATATAAGGATTTTAAAGCGAGTGAGTCCCTTTCCTTGTTTCAGATCGAATCCCTATCACCGTTGTCATACAGGAAGTGCTAAGAAGTAGTATGAGGTCGCACAGTGCTTCCCAGCTTTTCTTGATTGGCAGCACAACTTTTAATTCTTTCAAATTTCCCTGGGATGCTGCGAGATGGAGGAGGGGGGGGGGGCAGCTTGGGTTTCCATAGAGAAATTTTGCAGTGCGGACAAGAAAGATTTCTTGCATTTCTCCCCCTCGCTAAGCTCAGATCTCGCGACACACTTGAGCTTTGCTGACGGCGAGCCAGTGCGTTGCTGCGCACCGGTTGGGAAACCCTGTTTTTTTGTGTGTGTTTTAAGCCACGATCTATAGAATTCTCCAGTGTTCCTCATCTCGGGCACTGAATATTTGACATCGATTGATTTCTTTCGTGGAAGGTGGAGGGGAGTACTACGTGATCGATGCGTTGGAGAAAGGTCAGCGATATGTGATCCGAGCAGCAGCACAGAATCAGGCCGGCTACAGTGCCTACAGCGAGGCGAGGAAGGTTCAACTGCCTCCAGAGGTCCAAGACAACGGGGCGGAATGGCCTGCTTCGAATCCCAGTGTCCTCCTCGCCGTCGTAGCGGGGAGGATGTTGGTGGGGAAACTATGACTGCTTGGCAGCGGGTGACAGTGACATTCCGAGCGCGAGATCGGCCTGGAAACTGTGATGGGGAATGCCCGGGAAGGGAACTACACCTCTGTGATGAACGAATCCACTCCATACTCTAGTCAGAGAAAAGAACGCGAGGCCCCGCCGCTGCATCGGCTGGGATCTCGCATCCCGGCCGGAAAATCATCCGAAGACTCGAGATGAGCTTCATCGGACGGCCCCTCCTGTGAAGGGACTGGGGGCAGGCCCTTCCTGTGAAGGGGCTGGGGGCAGGCTCTTCCGGTGAAGGGGCTGGGGGTCTGTGTCGAGAGCGGGGAAAAAAGAAAGTTCTTTTGTATACGGTTTTCCAACAGTTCCATGGAGCAAACATCAATACGTTTCACCGCTGTTGTGAGTGACATCATAGCTTCCCTCACGAGGAAAAGTGCTATTGCTGTTTTTTTTTAAATGCCTGTTCGTTTCCCTGGTCGTCTCCATTCTGACTGTTCATGTAGCTGGTTTTCCCAGAAATTTTAACCAGTTGGTTTTCCCAGGTTTTTATCGGAACAAGGAGAATCTCATGCCTTGAAAAACGGAATCCGTTCCGAAACCAAACCGATACAATTACGAAACTGCAAACCTGCAAAACTGCTCCCAGAGAGCTAAAGGGAGTCCTGACGCGTCTCATCTTTGCAATCCCCTGCCAATTTCAGTGTTGACCGTAACGTAATCATGCCCTGTCATTACTCAGTCGAGTTGCTCAACTGCTAGTTTCCTTTTCTCTCCTTTCCTGCCCCGTGGTGCAAGGGCTTTTGAGTGAACTTGGTGCCAATTGAATAAAGAAGACCTGTCTCTTTCAAGCCACCACTTTCAATCGGTAAACCACCATTGTAACCTCTCGCAACCCGCAGCCCCTTTTCATTTACTTCCTGCCCGGAAATCCGAGACGGTCTCGAATAACATCCACGCACGTCTGCGTTCCTTTCTTGCCCTCTTTGAAGATTGTTTGAAATGACCCCATGGCCCTGCGGTTCTCTATTCTACCCTCTACTGAGGGAGTTCCCTTCGTCTCTGAACCGTCGGTTTCCTTGTGACACATCACTGCATGCAACTAATTCCAAAAAAAAGGAAATAAACTGAGTCGACTTATCAGTACAAGGAGCTGACCATATAGTTTTTGTCTGGTAACCATATAGTTTATGGGTGTCGGAATAGGGGAGGGATGAACGGGAGAGAATAAACGGGTTAGAGATAAAATCTTCCTCAGATGCTCGCAGCTGATATCAACAAATCGCACTGTGAAATCCGAAGCCTCATACAATAAGCATGCAATTGTGCAAAAAAAAATAAGAACCGCGGTAACTTTCAATATTGCATAATTGCACCAATTGTAACCCATAATGGCCTCAACATTCAACTGGAATGATGCGCTCAACCCAACCTCAAGCTACAGTTACCGACTGCGTAACTTAACAGTTTCAGCGACTGGGCGCGAACTGAAATTGAAACTAAGTTGCACAGATGTAAACTTTTGACATGAATTTTAATAAAGGCGCAAAAATAAGAAAAATCTCGGAATTTATGAAGAGTTCAGCAATAATATTTGGCATAGTTGGCATAACATTCACTACTTGAACGAGATGAATCGATGATGTAGATCTTCTAAAAATAGGACTTCCATTTCAAAGATACCATGAAGTCACGGGAAGTTCTGTCTACTTTCTCAGGTAAAATAGGGGGGGGGGGGAAGTTGAGACACAGTGAAGACTCTAGCACGAGTTTACGGTTCATCGAATATCACGTTTAGCTTGGATTTTATTTAAATATCGCTTCTCCAGCTCGTCGAGGGGTGCAGAAAATCTTGTATACAACTGGAATGGCAGACATTTTCGACGTTTGCGATTTCGGAAGAAAATCGGCGCAACAACGTCATGGCAACATCCAGCAAGGAATCCATTTTCCTTTGGAGCCATTTCGTGTAGAATTGTTTGGTTTCGCGGCAACGTAGAAAACACGCTCTCGAATCACGTTGTCAGCGACGTGTTCTGTAATTTGTGAAGTTGCCTTGACGATCACCCGTTGTACTTGACGCGGCCTACGAGGAACTCGCATCAAAAGTACATCCTTGGGGAAATACGATGTCTCTCCCGAGTTATAGAGGGAGATGGAGTCCGGAACGAAAAGTGCTGGGGATCGAATTGGCGATTTCGAGGCGCCATCTCGCGTCGGTTCTGGGGTTTTCAGGGCCGTCGTGGCCGTCATGGTACGGCGTCAATCGGTAGATCGTCGCACTTGCAGGGGCGTAGCCAGACGCCAATTTCTGGCTGGTTTATGCCGAGTCCAGGACTTGATAAACGTCTTCAGACAAAGCATATTGTATGAAATACGGGGGGAGGGGGGAGGTGGGAGAAGCGAGAGGGGGAGATGGGAGGAGAGAGAGGGGGAGAGAGGGGGGGGGGGGGGGGGAGGAGAGAGAGATGGCGGGAGGAAAAGCAAGGAAGCTGGAAGGGGAGCACTGAGACTGGCATATTTTCCTTACTTTTACCATATTTTCTTATATCGACCGACCGGCAAACTTTCCCCATCTCGTTTTTCATTATGCAAGCTTTCCCCTTTTACTCTCTTCCCTTCCCCGTTCCCTCCCCGACTTTCCTTCCCCGTTCCCTTCCCCGTTCCCTCCCCGACTTTCCTTCCCCGTTCCCTTCCGGTTCATCGTTTTGGGGTTTTGGGGGCCCCGCTGCACTGCGACCAAAAAAGTACGAGGGTCACTCCGAAAGTTTCTACACCTCGCTCCTAGCAAATGAAGACAAAAGACGAAGCCCACTCATCATACTTCATTCAAACCGCACGTGCAAAGATTCGCCTGTTTCTGCTGACACCGAAACCCAACAAGTGAAAGCAAGTCGTGACACCTCGTGAGAAACGCATTTGCCCCAACCGATTCATCACTTTCGTGCCATCATTTTTTGCAACCGTGCGAGATCCCCCTCACCCATCGCCGAGATAGATCGTCCAGGAATCTTCCGAGAAACCAAAATTCAAATTCAAAGAAAAGGTGATTTTGACGACCTTCGACTCGAGCAAACGTTGAAATCCTACTTATGATGCTCCACAGGCCTCATCTCTTATTTATTTATTTTTTTTGCCTGTCAGAGGCCACCCGGACCCTTGACCACCGTCGCACGTGAAGGGACTTCGCAGAAAAAAATATATTAAAAAAATAAAAACTTTACCAGACTTCTCATTCGGGCAAGCATCAGCCGGGGAAAATGAAAAATGGAAGGGGAGAAAAGCCTAGAAACTTTCGGAGCGACCAGCGCGCCGTCTCGTCGGTCCGTCCCCGTGGTACGGAATTCGTGTATTAAAAATAAATAAATAAAAATACAAATATTTTGGTCGAGGTCAAAAGTCATGTCTAATGAGGAAATAATCTCATGAGGGAAATGAAGGGCTTGAGGGAAATGCTTGTATTAGGTTGTTTCACATGAAATGTCCGATTTTGAAGATGAGATTTAAAAGGCTATATTTTTAACAAATAAAATTTCATTTAATCAAAATACGCTCCATTAGCTTGAATTGTCTTCTCCCAACGGGATACTAAGGAAAATATTCCATTTCTATAAAATTCTACATTTTTTGAATTAACAAACTCCTCAAATGCTCCAATTACAGCCTCTCGGTCCCGGAATGTTTTATTCCGGAGAAACAGCTCCAAGTGACGGAAAAGGTGATAATCCGTTGGTGAAAGGTCAGGTGAGTATGGTGGATGCTGCAAAATTTCATAGCCCAATTCTGTTATTTTTCCCACGGTGGTTCGTGACGTGTGGGGTCGAGCATTGTCGTGCAGCAGAATC